AAGGGGTAGGGACGGTTTTATGGCCTGCAGCATGCAGGGGGTCAGACCAGATGATCATAATGGTCCCTTCTGACCTTAAAGTCTATGAGTCTATGAGGCTATCCCTCCTGCCCAGAGTTGGAGTTAAGGAACCACTGCGCCGTAATAGGTGGAGCTGGAACCTTGGCGAGGTCGTAGCAAGTACGGATGCAGTTGTGATCCATGACGCAAGGAGCATCTCTTTGTATTTGGTTGTAAGCGTTCCCAAGAGTTAAAGTTATTCCTACTGAGGATAACCTGCTGGTTGGCTATCCTCAGCTGTAGGCCACCAGCAGCATACACTTTCCTGCCAAAGAGGACCATATGTTTGGCCTCCTTAGCCTTGTGAGCCGGTGCCTGTTCCCCCGGCGCTCTTTTTCATTCACCGCTGAGACCACCAGGGAGCAGAGGTGTGAGAGAGAGAATAAAAACTCTGGATTGGAATGGACATGAACAACACATCTCAAAGAACAACAGTTACAAGAAGCTGAGTAATTAATTTTTCATGTGAGGAACTCCGTTTAAGGACATTTTTGGCCTCACAGTTGCAGAGAAAAGCTTGAAAACATTATCTGAGTGACCCCTAAAGACTCCAGAAACTGGAAGGCAAATCAAGAACACCCCCCCCCCATTTATTATGTTTTAAAATCTCATGATTTGAGAGAACTGACTCAATTTTTTAACTCTGGGAGTTGGTAATGCTGTGCCTTATGCTGCAGCCCTCAACCCTCTGTTCATCTTGCAGACCTTCCTGGTTTGAGGAGGCCAGGGATTATCAGATTGTCACATGGCATTCTTCCCTTCTGAGTGCCTTTGGATGAGGGTGGTTTTGGGATCGATCTGTCAGCGTTACCTGAGCAGAGATGTAGTCACAATGACTGTATTCTCCCTCTCCTTGTGCTTAACATTGCAGGTGCTTGGATCCTTTACCTTCTACTCCGTTCTCTTTTCTTCATTTATCTTCAGGGTTTAGAAACTGAGGCCCAGGTATTTAGGTACCTAACTCCCATTGATCGGAGTCTGAGCTCTCCTTGGACCGTTATTGTGAGAAAGCAACTGAAAAGAGACAAGTCTTACTTCTCTCTTTGCATATGGTGAGATCCATGGTTCCTCTAGGACAGATCCACAGTGGTGGGCCATTGCTAAGAAACCTTGATGCCCTGCTCTTAGATGTCTCACTGTTGGTGCTCATCCTTCCACCATTCCCAGGGCTGTCCCTGATTTGGCAAGCTCAGGTGAGAACAATATCTGCAGGATAGGGCTTCCCCTATTTGGTGCCTTCAGGGAAAATGGGGGTTAGATGGGTTGCCCTCCCTGTTTTGATGAGCTCAGGTGAGAGGGCAGTTACACAGCTGGATGCTTTTGCATATTATGCATTCCTGTTTGTTCATGTAGTGCCCCAAAGTGTGCAAAGCACTGCATGTGAACCTAGGAATGATACGCCCCTTTCCTGGAGGAGCAGACAGTGTAACGAGACAACTCGCTGAGAAGGTTGCAGGAAGTGAGGCCTGGTCAGACAAATAATCAAGGTGCTGCTAGGCAAACATTTTGTTAATGCCATTTCTTTTGGTTATGTTTGGTATCCATTCTGCCTCCCCCACAGCAATTTGTCCATTTCCCCTCATTAATCTGCCCCAGCCCTGCACTCCACTTTCCCAATGTCCACCAGAGGCAGGGAGCACCAGCCCATCAACAAAGAGAAAACACAAAATGTCAAATATTGCAAAGGCTCTGAGGGCCACCTAGCCCCACCCCCTGCTGCCCAGCTTCCCCTTTTCTGGGGGGGTGCCCAAACCCCTCGCATGGCTGCCAATATCGCACTCTGTCCAGTGGGTCTCTACCATTTCTTATCCTGACTGAAAGGGGGAGGAACAAGAGCCTTCCCTGTGGATGCTCCACACATGGCCCTTGTCCACCAGTACCTGAGGCTTCCTTCCCCCTTTTCCGTGTGCGTCTCCATCCTTGCAGTGGGGCAGAGGAATCTCACCCCAGCCCCACCCACCACGGCCCAGGAGGCGGTTACCTGGAGGGATCTATTTCCTTGGTGCCCTCGGGGCGGGGGTATGGGGCTGGGTCTCCTCCCCTTGCTTGCCCTGTGGCCTTTCTCCACTGGGGGGAGCTTGTGAAGGTCTCCTAGACCCTGGAGTGGGAAGACCCGGGGGGCTCTGCTGAGGTCTTGGTGAGCTCAGGGGCTGCTCTAGAATAGTGGTGACCTCACTGCTGTGGGGGGTCACCGGCAGGCCATGGCTGTTGCTGGGGTCAGAGGCTAGTGGGTCCAGAGGTCACATCGGCGGTAGGGGCAGCCCATGGGGGCCATGCAGTGCCTCATGCATGACAAGCGTGCGGGTGTGGTTGCTTGGTAACCACGGGGAGCAGCCACCGTTCTCCCAACATCCGCTGAGCCCCAATGAGTGAGGCGGGCCTCCGGCCCCCTCTGCTCCTCCTCCTGCTGCTGGTGGCTGCCGCTGCCTCCCTCGCTAGGCGGCACGGCAACGCCTGCCCGGCCCCATGCCAGTGCCACCGGGGGCTGCTCAACTGCAGCAGGGCCGCCCTGCCCGCCGGGCTCCACCAGCTACTACCGCCTGGGCCTGCCGCCCGCAACCAGACCTTCTTCTTCCTGTGAGTACCGGGACGGTGTGCCAAGATAGAGACCCCCGCCCCCAGAGGGGAGACCCCACCTGGACACAGACACCCCCCTCCCTGACCTCTCTGTGGGGATAGAAACTCCAGCACCCAGATCTCTCCTGCCCAGGCAGGGATCCTTTCAGCACAGACTGTATAGCCTCATTGCAGTACCCGAACATCTCACACTCATGGGTTCCCCCTCCCAAGCCCTGTGTGAGGTAGAGGAATACTACTATCTTCATTTTCAGAGAGCATCAGGGCAAAATTGCCAAATTTGGGAGTCTAAAGTTAGGCAGCTGAGGGAATTGGGAGCATAAATCTCATTGGCATTCAATGGGGCTTGTGTTCCTAAATCCCCTGGGTCCCTAAATCTACATTTGGGGCTGATTGTTGAAGGGCCTGCAGCTCTTGTTGAGGTCAATGGAAGGCAGGCCCTGTCTGATTTAGTTCCCTAAATGTGCCTTTCTGTGCCTAACTTCAGACTCTCCGGTTTGAAAATGTTGGCCTAGCTCATGTGCCCAAGCTCCCCTTCCCCCAACCATCTGCTCTTCTTTCGCTTGTTATTACCAGGGTCAGAGTCACGGGCCTGGGTACAGGCTCCGGGGAAGGAGAGAAACTGCCCCTGCCTTGTCTCCCACACTTAGGGCTTGTGTACATGGGGAAATTCACCAGCGCAGCTGTGCGTTTGAACGGGAGATGAGCTAAACTGGAAAAAAGCTCTTCTGGATTAAGAATGTCCATACAGGGAATTAGATAGGGCATAACTATAGCAGTGTATATCCACACCTTTCCTTTACCGTCTCCCTGTGTAGATGAGCCCTTATTCCCCATCATCCCAACCCCAAAAGAGATTTGGCTGAGCCTGCCAGTAGTGGCTGTGGTCCCTGAGGACACCAAGATTCTCTTGGGAGTTGTCATTGCTGCAGTACATCACACGAGGGCCACACCGGCCCCTTGGCAGCTCTGGGGAATGGGGGAGCACAATGATGGCTTAAAGCTATTTTTATTGTTATTATTATTACTGCAGCACCTAGGAGCCGTAGTCATGGAGTAAGACCCTACTGTGCTAGACAAATAGAGAACGAAAAGATGGTCCCAGCTCAAGGGGCTCCCTTTGCTCTCTATCCTCCATCTCTGCACATGCACTGTAGAAAGTGAGACATTTACCACCCTTAAGGTAAATGCAATTAAGCAAAGTACACAGAAGCAAATAGCGAGGCCGAGGAAGCTCCTGCCTTTCCTGTGAGGATGTGAAAACTATCTCCAAAGCTGTAGCAGAAAACCAGGCAAGAGAGGTCCTGGGAAAGTTTGAGGCAGAAGCTCTGCACCAAACAGAGAGAGAGCAGGGCAGTATTCGGGGTAATACTGTTTCCCTTGTTCTAGTAAAGCTGTTTGTTCAATGTTAGTACAAATTGACTCATTCTGTGATGCTTTACCATGGTCACATGACAATCCGCTTCCCCAAAGCAGACAGCCCGTCATCCATAGATGTACCCAAAGCAAATCAGAAACTGAAGTTACAGAACTCACATTATCCAACCTACCACACCACCTGGTACAGCTGAAGCCTTTGTGCAGACCCACCCTCTTTTACTGGCTGTCTCCTGTTCATAGCTGAAAACATCTGTCCTGTTATTATTATAATTATTATTTATTTGTACTGTGGTAGCGCCCAGGCACCAGCCACCTTGTGCTGGGCACTGTGGGACCTTTACAAAGAGATGGCCCCTGTCCCAAAGAGTTTATATCAAATATAAAATGAGAGAGACAACAGATGGTTGCAACAAACAGCTGGAAGCTGAAGCTAGACAAATTCAGGCTAGAAATAAGTTGCCAGTTGTTAACCAGTGGAAAAAACTTACCTACGTATGTGGTTTCAGAGTAGCAGCCGTGTTAGTCTGTATCCGCAAAAAGAACAGGAGTACTTGTGGCACTTCTCAATATTTATTCCACTCTGTATGCCTCCGAGGAAGTGGGCTGTAGTCCACGAAAGCTTATGCTCTAATAAATTTGTTAGTCTCTAAGGTGCCACAAATACTCCTGTTCTTTCTACATATGTGGCGGATTCTCCCTCATTTGAAGTCGTTCATAGAATCATAGAATCATAGAATATCAGAGTTGGAAGGGACCTCAAGAGGTCATCTAGTCCAACCCCCTGCTCAAAGCAGGACCAATTCCCAGCTAAATCATCCCAGACAGGGCTTTGTCAAGCCGGGCCTTAAAAACCTCCAAGGAAGGAGACTCCACCACCTCCCTAGGTAACGCATTCCAGTGTTTCAGGAAAAAAAATAGTTTTTCCTGATATCCAACCTGGACCTCCCCCACTGCAACTTGAGACCATTGCTCATTGCT